ATTTTGTGAAATGTGTAAATATTATCATAATTACCAAAAGATTAATTTAGGTAGAAAAAGAGAAACAAAAACTTGAGAATGAGGAAAGTATTAAATGATGAAATTTTCAAAACCCCCATGTGAGGTGACCTGATTTAGGCCTCTGCTGCTTCCCACTGCAGGACAAGCCATTGTCCTCTTCTTTTCCTTAGGGAAACATGACAACCTTGTTCTTCATCCTTGATGGCCACAGATGTAAGAGTGAAGAAGCATTTGCAAAAGACTTTTCTCTTTTCACCTCTGATTCATGAACTCCATCAAAATGCTATTTCTCACCTCCAGTCTCTACAGCTGCTAACTTATGTGATCGTTTTTCAGGGAGAAAACTAACTGTGGAAAAGCTATAGGATCTGTTCAAGGTCATTTCTGCAGTAGGAGAGTCAGCATGCAGTCCCTGTTCCTGGTGTCTGATAGCCACCTCCTTGCCATCTGAAGGCAGGGAATCATTCTGCTATAGTAGATTGCTTGGAAAAATAAAAACTTCTATCAAATGATAGCAAGATTCTTAGCCTTGGGCCTCTTGATTCATGTTCCACATGCAAGAGTGTGAGCCTTGAATATGGCCAGTGATGTTTTCCCAGCAATCTAGGCACTCCTATCACATGGAAACTACCAAAGAGACAAGGGATTAGCAAGCGATTCAGGAATGTCTGTGTTAGCATGTAACTGCCCACATGCTTTAAATTTTATTCCATCTCCTTTCTGTTTTAAAAACTATAATTTTTGACACATACTAGTAGTACAGAGTAAAGAGATTCATTGTATTTTCATATGCATATTCATATTTTCATATCCACCCCTCTCCTACCTTCTCCCTCTCCCCTAACCCTCCTCCCAGGTCATGTAGTCCCTCTTCTACTTTTTTTAAGTTGCCACATATGAGAGAAAACATGCAATATTTTTCTGTATCTGAATTATTTTGTTTAACATACATCCTCCATTTCCATGCATTTTTCTGCATATAACCAGCTTTTATTCTTCTTTATGGTTGAGTAGGATGTGTGTGTCCATGTGTGCACATGTGCATGCCATATTTGCTTTGCCCGTTGACCAGCTGACAGATATGTAGACTGATTGCTTGCCTTGGTTATTGTGAATAGTGCCTCTCTTGCTCCTTTCTTGCTCATTAGCCATTGTTGTATAACAAAGCATTCCCAAACTCAGCACCTTATTGCAAAATTTTATAGTTATTACTCAGTTTTTTGGTTTGACTACGCTCAGTTGGGTAGTTCTTGATTACAGTAGACTGCCATGGAACTTCAGTCATCTTGCAGCTAAAACTGCAGTTCCCTGGTGAGTCATTTGAGCTGGACATCCACCACAGTAGATTCCCATGGCCTAAACTCCAGGAATAAAAAAGGGAGTGCTGGAATGTGTCTTGAGGTAGAGGACTTGCCTAGCAGGAAGGAGGTCCTGAGTTACATGCCCAGCATAAGATTGTATAATGGCTTACAATTTATTTCTAAGACTGAAGGGTAAATGAAAACTGGATAGAGGAGCATTATTTGCTATAATAAAGCAAAAGAAATGATAAGCTTAGTGCCAACAGAGATGAAAACTGATGAGACCTCATTTCACTCCAGAGCCTTGGAAGTAGTAAAATTCTGTGTGATACAAATCTAAAATTGTGAGCTATTGCTTACTTTCTTTATGTCAACAAAACTACACTATTCTTGTGTCAGGCATTGAGTTGGGTACTGAGAAAGAGTAATTACAAGTTGTCTTAGTTACTTTTCACTGGTTGTTGAGACAAAACATCTGATGCCCAACATGAAAGAAGGGAAGGTTTATTTCTTACAGGTTGGAGGCTTCAGTCCATACTCAGTTGGCTCCAAGGTTAAATGACATGGCTGAGGGGCAGTAGTTTGTGGTGGCTACAAACATCAGACATGAACAGCAAAAGAGAAACACAAGCCTTCTTTCCTCAGGTACACTGCATGCTGGCTCCACCCTTGGCAGGTGTAGTACTCATACCATCAATCTGAGTGCTAGAAAACAACCAATCAGAAAACATAGATATGGTCACACCCATGATGGCATGAGGCTTGAGGGGTACTGACGTTAACCATGACAAAGAGCCTGCTGTTGTACTCTATCATCAAGTCTAGAGTCTATTGATGTGGAGGGATATTTATCTAATCACTACCCAAATGTTGGCTGAGCATTCCTAATCTGAATCTTGAAGTCTGAAATGCTTCAAAGTCTAGAATTTTGAGTACTGATACAGTGCCAAAAGTGAAAAATTCCACAACAAGTAATTTTGTTTGAAACAAAAAATATTTTTTCATTGAGATTATTGGTATATTTTAGGTATAAATCATGATCATGTAAACCGTGGGAAATTTGTACCATACATTAAAACCTTGAATGTGTTATTCTCCATTCCCCTAACTTTGCTTCAACTCCCTTCCCTTCCTTGTTTATGAAAGCTTTGTTTGCTTCTTTTCTCATCATTTGTTTCTTTTCTCTTCCTTGTTTTCTCACTTCTACATGCCTAATTCCTCATTTCATTAGAGAATGTTCTCAATATCTATATTATTTTAGTGCTTATCTACATTTTCAGCTTACCACACCAGAGAAACAACACAATACACAAATCAAACACAAAATTATTAAAAGTATTGTATAAAATTATCTTCAGGTTATGACTATGAAGTATATGTGAACCATAAATAAATTTCATATTTAAACTTGTGTCCCATCCTCAAGATAACTTATTATGTATATGCAAATTTTCCAAAAAATGAAAAATATAGACATTCCAAACACTTCTGGTCACAATCATGTTGTATAGGGGACACTGAATTTGTAGATGTTTAACTAAAAACCTCAAGGAAGAAATACAAGGGGTGATCAAAAATGTACTACAATAGTGACATGTGGCAATTAATCCTTCTTAAAAAGCACCTATTTAGACAAATAAATTAAATAAAATACACATCCTCACTTCAAAAAAAATTCTCCATTTGTTCTTGCAATCTCTGAAGCAGTTTGGAAGTCCTGTTTGCGAATGTTTTTACATATTGGAATAAACATTATAGTTAGTGCTGCTGCTTAGTGCCATCCAGTGGAAAGGAAGGCTCATAAATACATTATGGTGTGTCCTCATCCACCTGATTCACCAAATCTGGACCCCTGTGGCTCTTCTGAAAATCAAAATGACCATGAAAGATGAATATTTTGAGTTGATTCAATACATTGAGGCAGCCACAACAGCACAACTAAAGATTCTCATAAGAGGACTTCCAGAACTGTTTCAAAGAAAATGGCAACATGATGGAATAAATGCATTCAAATGAAGGAGGAACTTGGTGTAGGGGTGCATACCTGTAAACTCAGCACTTGGGAGGCTGAAGCAATAAAATTTTTGAGTTTGTGACTAGCTTGGGCAACACAGTGAGTTCAAGGCCAGCATGAACTCCATAGCAAAACCCTGTCTCACAAAACCAAAAACCAACAAACAAAGAACACCTAGCTGATTGTTTCAGCACAATTTTTTGTTTGTGTGTAGATTACTGACTCACTGAAGATGGAAGACCTTCCCTGTTTGTGGTGAGCAACCAATAGGCATGCATCCTGGAGGCTGTAAAAAGGGAAAGGAGAAAGTATGGCTTCTGCCTCTTCAGAAGAGTGCTAATCCTTGCCATCACCTTAGGTATCCATTACCAGGCACCTAGCACAGATCCTTCTGCTCCCTGCCAGAGACTCTCCAGGGACTCTGCAGTGAGCTCCAGGCCTCAGACTTGTGATTGGAGTTTTTGCATCTCCAAGGAGAACCTGACCCTTTTGTGCTCTTCTCCACCTGACTCTGCAGGGGGCCATCCTAAGTCTAATTTCCAAATCCTTTATATCACACACACACACACACACACACAGAAATTGAATCTGATCCTATAGTGAACCCTGACAAAAACTGCCTCTACCTAGCTATGCAACCTCCCATGAACAGTTTTATGCCTCACTCATGTGAAAAATCCAAAGGAGAACTGCAGCGGTGCTGTGCCAAGTATGGGTTAGTTAACAGAGGTGTTGGGGTAAGGCCCGCTGGGTTAAAATTCTGTCCACTGCTTTGTCACTCGAAAAGATATTTATTTTTGGTGTCTAGGCCCACACAGCAATGAAAATGAAGATAATTCCTAACTCACACTCTTGTAATAACATATGTAAAGCGCCTCAAAGAGGCCCTGGCCTGAAACTGATAATTGCGAAAGAAGCTTGTTAGTATGTTATATGAACATGTAAACAAACTTTTAAGATATGAAAACGTCAGACAATGAATTCCGGAAGCACTCATTTCTCTGTAATAAAAGAAGGGCAACAACGCAAATAACAATGGCGTCTGAGCTCTTGCTATATACTAGGAGCCATGGGAAGAGCTCTGCAGGGTTTTCATTGGATCTTCACAGCAGTGCCAAGAGAGGAGTATTGCCATTCATCACGGTTTATTTTTTGAATGGAAAAGAATCCACAATATTTCAAAACAAAGTAATAGGAGAATGACAGTAGTGGAAAGTGAGCCTCCAAGAAGAGAAGCAGTGGGCCCACGGTTTCAGAGCTACAAGATTTGAGTCCAGACACCTATAAATTCCAAGTCTGGGACTCAGTCCACTCCTTTGTTTCCTGGCATAGTGGGCCTGGGGCTCAGAGTCTCCCAGAAGCCTCATCAGAGACCTCCACTGGAAGCCACACCCTGCTTCAGTGGGACCCTAATCCCCACTGCCACGCCCACTGCCTCATTCTTGCCCCACTGACAGGCTTGGCGCCTGCTTTGTCCCAACTTCTAGCCCTGCCCCTTACCCTTCCCTCACACCCTTCGCCCCACCCCCTTCCGGGACCAAAGGTTCTGCTGCCCCGCCCCACACCCGGCGGGCCACGCTCACGGAGGCCTGCGCATGAGCCTCCACATCCCAGCTCAGACCTGCCCGCGCCCCGCCTCGCCCTCGCAGTGCATGCCGGTCTTGTGCTTGGATCCGCCATTTTGCCACTAGAGATGCTGTCTGAAGACCAGTGCTCTCTTCCTTCAGCGGCCTAGGCTGCGTCGGGGCCTGAGCTGGGGTCTGGGCCAGGTAGGTCAGAGGGAGCCGGCAGTGAGCGGCGGTGCCACCCGGTGGCCCCCACGTTAGTGGGTGTAGGTGCCTAGGCAGGGAGTCCTTATGGCGGGGTCATGGGCCGCGGCGGTGGCGTGCACGGCGCTGGGGGCGACCCGGCCTCCGCCCGCAGGGCCCCTCTCTCCCTTCCTCCCTCCTTTCCATCGGGGGTCAGCACAGCCAGGCTACTGGCAGCCCAGCCCGGGTGTGGGACCTGCAGGAGGCGGCTTGGGTTCTCACATGGCCTCTGCTATCAGTGAGCCTGGCCATGCTGAGCCGCGGATATTTACCCCCCAAAACCACGATTTCATTCCACTAGGAGCTCCTCCCTGCAGAAACTGAGAGAGGACTGAGATGTTACAGTAAGATAGCAGTTATTATTCTACCTGCACATGCTGTGGCTCCAGTCCGTTTCATTGATAAGGGGCTTTCTGCTTCTTTTAACATTGGCGCTACTTGGGTGTTTAGGTTTTGTGAGGGGTGTTTAGGTTTTGTGAGGAGTCTGAATGCGGCATGGGGCTTTGAGGCATGATGAAGTGTGATTCCACAATTTAAGTCCACAAAAATAATGCACACACGTTGTTGAACCCTGCTGCAGAATACCCTTTTTGTCCCTATTCTGCTGTCTCTGACCATTACTCCCCAGTTTTGCTCACATCATTTATATATTTGCGTAGTGTTGAATATTTATATTATATGCATAGGTAGAGTGTACTTAGTTATCCTGTTACTGACCATATACACAAGTCTAGTTCCTCTTAGAAAACTTTCATTGAACATGTATCGTTTTTTCTTGTGATAAATTCCAGAATTTGGAAATACTAAGTCAAAGTTCTCTGCTCTTTCCCTGCCACTTGATATGAATTGGTACCTAAACAAGACACGTTTACCTCTTTCAAAATCTAGGTATTTGCCCAAATTTCTTGGCAAATTTGGAGTTCAGCAAGACGTTGAGTCATTTTCTGTGCAGGCTGAGAGACAGGCCACACAACCTACTGTTGGACTTTGTTTTTAAGTCATGTACCATGTTCATCTTTTTGTTTTGATTCACTCCATTATGTTTTGTTTCGTTTCATTTTATTCTCTTAAAAATAAAAATGAAATAAAAAAAAATATTTTCTTGCTGGGCATGGTGATGCATGCTTGTAATCCCAGCACTCTGGAGGGTTATACAGGAGGATCACAGTGAATGCCAGGCTAGCCTGAAATACTTGCTAAGTTCAAGATCAGGCTGCAGTACATAGCAGGACCTTGTCTCAGAACGAAATAAACAACCCCTTTTGCCTCTTTTCTTATTTTAATGTACCATAAGTAGATACTAATAAAGAAAATATGAAAACACTTTTATAAATAAAGTTTTCATACTATACAGTTTGTATACTATGAAACTATATGGTATCTTTATACAATATAGCATACTTTATATAAATTTATATACTGCAAAACTGCATAGTATGAAACTATGAAATTTTTCAGCTGGGTGTGGTGGTTCACACCTGTAATCTCAGCACTCAGGAGGCTGAGGTGGGAGAATCCTTGCAAGTTTGAAACCAGTCTGGGCTAAAAAGTGAGCTCAAGGCCAGCCTAAAGTGCATAGCAAGACCACGCCTTAAAAAGACCAAAAAAAAAGAAAGAAAGAAAGAAAGAAAGAAACTATGCAGTTTCATACTATGCAGTTTATGTACTATGCTCAGTGATGTCACGGATTTCTGCATGAGGTATATGTTCCTGCACTTTTAAAATTTGTTCTTATTTGTTTGTTTTTTGAGACAGTATCTAAATAATTTACTCAAATCCCCAGGTTTGGTTTAACCTGATGATCCTTCTTCCTTACCTCCCAGAGTTCTGGGAGTACAGGTACAGGCTGCCTTTACTTACAAATTCACAATGTTTATGTATGTTTATGGGATAAAATGTGCTTTTGATCTATGGCTCCTTTGTGGAAAGAATCAATCTAGTTAATGTACCTACCATCTTAGAAACCTACAAATTCTTTCACAGTGACTGGGACTGCAAGTCCCATTCTTTAGGAGTTTTGAAGTCTATCCTTTTTAGTTAACTGTAGTCACCATACAGTTTAGTAGAGAAGTGAAAATTTCTTGTCCACCATGACTGAGATGTTGTATTTTTGGGTGACCATCCTTCTTTCCCCATCCCTCATGGAAATGATCATTTTTAAAAATAAGAGTGCTCAAGAATTGTGTGGAGGCTAAAGCTACTTGGGGCACACTGCTCTTCAAAAAGACCAGGCAGCAGTACTCTGTAGCCCTTCACCTTGCTCCCAATTTTTGTTTCTTTGTTTGTTTGTTTTTCCTTAACTGAATTCTAGGAATTGGATGCAGGGCTGTCTTAGTTACTTTTTACTGGTTGCTGAGACAAAAATCCTGATGCAAAAATTTGGGAAAGGAAAGGTTTATTTCTTATAGTTTGTGGAGATTTCAGTCCATACTCAGTTGGCTCCAAGGTGGGGTGGCATGGCAGGGCCGGAGTTCATGGCGGCTGCAAACAGCAAGGAGGAAACAGGCAAAAGCATCAGTCACAACTTCTTCCTGCCATTACATCACATCCTGGCTCTACCCCTTGGCCAGTGTAGCACTCACACCCCCAATGCAAGCCCTAAACAATGAACAAATCACAAATGCATAATGTAAAGACATGATGCCTGGGGGCCACAGACATAAACTATGACAACGGACTTACATTTAACTACACTAACTTCTGTTTTTAAAATTCTTTTTTATTTTTAGCCAGGGTCACCTTAAGTAACTACACTGCTGAGACACCATTCTTACACACAGATTCTTACAGGTCTATGTGTGGATGCACCTTGATATCAGAGACATTTCCCTTTCAAAACTGAGATAACTTGTTCTCACATCAATGTATTATTTCATGATCAGATTCCTTGGCTTCTTTCCCTGTAGACCCAGGGAGACCAATCTCAGCATCCCCCCAGCTTTCCCTGCTTCCTATGACCCACACTGGTACCACACACCCTTTATGTGGAAGAGAGAGATGGTCCCAATTCCTTCCTGTTTCAAATAGCTGTGAATCAAACTCTTTCAAGGAAATCTTGCAAAGTTGTACAGCTCTCTGTAAGGGATAAACGTCTGTTGTTAACCCTGCCAGGTCCAGGGACAAATGTGTGTAGCACTCTGATGTGAGCTGCCAGACAGGTCTCTGCTCTGCCCCCCATATTCTCCCCAGTGCTATTCGGCACCTGCCTTAAAACCTGCCATCAGGTGGAGACTAATGATGCAATAATTGGGAGCTTAGTCCAACCCTAACCCTAAGTCTAACCTACCCCTAAACATAACTCTAACCAAAGATAGTCACTGCCAACATCCCTGGCCAAAGAAAACTTTATGGCATTGATGTGAGAAATGTAATATAGGTTAAGACTGAGGACATATAATCAGTGGTGGCTGGGATGGGGCAAGAGGGGAAAGATAAGAAAACACCATTGTGTAAAAATTTGAAGAATATGTTCTGGAAGTGGACTTGGGGAAATTTGCTCAACATTGAGAATGCAATGAATGTCAGCAAGCTGATTATTTTAAACAACCCTAAAATTTTAAATTTTACCTATAATTGTTCTATCATGAATGTATCTCTTCTAAATAAGTGTAGCTGTGAAAACAATAGTAAGTAAATCTGGACGAGAGGGGCACAGCAGGTGTGGGTCAAGAGCTGCCCGCAGTTAGAGCTCGAGATATGACTCCTAAGTGGAGCCACCAGGAGGCTCAGAACTTCAGCTGCTGGACAAAGGAATCCAGATACTGGCTCTTGCTATGGGATCACAGCTGGTTAGGGAGCTGCAGGTAGAGCTGGCACAAAGTCTGCAGGTGCAACTTCTGCATGGGCTGAGCCTGGCCCTGTAGTTGCAGGAAATGAAAAAATTGCCAACTTTCCATGGACTTCCTGGGCAAAACCTTCCTACTGCCTGTCAGAGGCAGCCATGTGCACCAACACAACCCCAGGAAAGCCTCCTGACTGCATCCCCACAAAGACTGCTGAGTGTGTCATACTCCTGGGTCACCCAGCATCTGGGCACTTTGCTGAGTTCCAAGGCCATCACCTCCCTACAACCCTACATCCTACACTCCAAAGATAGTTACCCTGTGGCTCATTCTCTGGGGCTCCAGCTGGTCCAGGAGAAGCTCAGCCTGGGGATCCACATGGGCATATACTTCCAATGTGGCCTCATGCACAGAAGAACTGGGGCAGACAGGGAACCAGCAGAGTGAGAGACCTGGGCTTTCCTCCCACAATGCCTGCACATCTCACTTGTAGAGAGGGTTTCATGGACCTCCGGCCCAGTTGATACAATGTCCAGCCCCATTCTCACCCACCCACAATTGGGCAGTGAGGGCCCAAGGAGCCCTTAATGGCTGACAGAAGTCTCATTGGGAGGGAGACCTTGCTTAGTTTTATCATACATCTACATTCTTCAGGGAATCCTGACACAGTATCTCCCTGCCCCTACCCAGTAAAAGTCAGCTTGGAGGAGGTAGAGACTGCAATCTGCCCTGTCTTTGCACTCAAAGGCTCAGGGCTGCCACTCCATGAATATCTGAGAAGTGAAGGATCAATCAGTGTCTGTCCTGTATCTCTGCAGTCTCTAGCTCAGGCAGTGATGCAGTGCCCAATTCTCTTTGCCCCTGTATAACTCCTTGTGCATGGTTTGTACCCACAACTAGGGAGGCCTGGAGGCTGGAACAATGGCTTTGAGGTGAGCAATATCTGTTCTGCTGCCAAGGGTTACTCTGTGGCCTCCCACAATCATCGAAACTAAAAAGGGCAGTGGTTCCACTGGCTCTGCTTACAGAATCTTGGTTAATATCCAGAAACGTGCTTGCACACAGTGTGTCTTCATATACGATTGTGGGTTGGTAACACCTATCTTCTCTTCCTATCTGTTTGACAGCCATGGACAATTTGCCATTCTCAAGATTTCCTGTCATGGAATGACTCTCCTATCTCCTTTCTGATGAACAGAACTGCATCCACCAAGTGTTGGTCACTGGGTGGGATGGAAGATCATCCATCAGAATTATCACAACCTCTACAGCAGGTCTTCATCGGGCCAAGGCCACAGCTAACTGCTTGGCATGGAGCCCCCATTTCATCCTCAGTGGCCCTAAGCTCTTAATCCACTCATTCCTGACCTGTTTGGCACTGTAAACTAGGGTTGAGTGAGGCCCTTGCATAGGGCCAGGACCTGAATCCACAGGTGACCAATTCCCCCTGGGCTGCTTAGGTAAGAACTTACCTGCTCAGCCTTGGTGCCTATAGGGTAGAGAGCTTAGCCCTGGAGAAGTACAAGGAGGAGAGGCTGTGCCTGTGGTATCTATCCAGAAGGCCAGCTCCTTAGGCTCCTTCAGGCTGTGAGGCCCATCTGCCTGCACTGTGCTTCCTGTACAGACCTCTCCCAGTCTCTCTGCTGCTTGACTTCTGAGACTGTGGGTAGACATGGAATTGGTGTCCTGCTCATAGCTTCTCAGGAGGTTTGGGGGCTGAAGCAAAGCCCATACTCCAATTAGTCCGCAGAGGCTAGTGGTAATGGGCTCACAGGAGGGCCCCTGCAGAAAAGGGATTCTCTTATTAAAACTTACATTTCACAAGGGAAACTTAGAAATACTAGCATGCTCAGATCACCTCAATAGAGAGGTTGAACAGAAGTCTATGTATGAACAAAACCTATGAATCCTAAGACATCCCACCCATTTTAGAGATGAGAAAAGGAGGCTCATTCTGGATGTCCAGGTGCATTAATGAGGCACCTCAGAATGTTCCCAAGATTCTGATGAAAAGTCCCCAGGAAGGAAGTAAGTTCCTCTTCTATAGCCGTAGAAGGCTGAGCCACTGTGCTCACCGCTCTCTTCTTGTGCTCATTTATCCCAGAGGCTCTGGCAAAAGAACCTGCAATGCATGGAAAAATCCCATGAGACAAGTGCCAGAGAATGGGACAGAGTGGACTGACATTTGAGGTGAGCACACATCTGGTGAGGTGACGCTGTGTAAGAGCTGGGGACAGTGGAGTAAGACACCTTGCTAATGGTCCTTGGACACCAGGCCCAGTACAGAAAATGAGGTACAATGGCAGAATTCATTCATGACAAGAAATGAAACGATTTTGTGTCTGTTCCTTTTCTCCTCTTCCATCAATATGTGTACAGTGACCTTGCCTGTGACAAGGTAGAGGATTAGTAGAGAGGATATGGTAGTTCAGCACTTGCAGTCCAGATTCCTTTGGAGTAAGACCATGGGCCCAGTGTTTCACAAGCCCTGGATAGAGCCATTGGAAGGGTTAATCAGACCCAAAGTTCCTCTTAGTCGTGTGTGGGCCTCCATACATTCCCTTCTGCTCACACTCTGCACTGGAGCCAATACCTCCTGTTATTGTGGGTCCCATCTCTGGAGCAGGGATGTGGCACACAGGGCCCTTGGTCCACCTCCATGCCAAAGTCCTGTGTGCAGCATGGATGGGGCAGTGCCCAGTAGCCAACAGGAAGCCTGAGACTCTGAGACACCACAGGTTTCACTTTGTGAACCCAGATAACCTTATGTTCCGCAAAGACTAACAGCTCTTTCCCAGACTTCTACCGAGGAGGACAGGAGATGACTCTGGAGGCTCTGGATAAGCATGATGCTGCCCTTGTCCTCCTGCCAGCCCTGTCCTTGGTAGGAACATGACAGGAGCACAGGCTCACACTTCCCAACACCTGCCCCTGCCCCAGAGCATCTCCCTCACTGCCTGTCCTCAGAGCACTTACAATGATGATTTAGGATGGGAATGGTTTAGAAGAATTCACAGAGGTGGCCATGCCTTAATGTGCTATCCTCTAGTTAGTGTCTCTGAGTGGCTGGTGGCTGAGCCTAGGGACACCTGTACTGGGCTCCCTCTTGTTTCTGGTGTCTTGGGAGTTGGGGCTCTTGGGCCCTGCCCTGTGCTGCCCTTGATTTTAGGCAGATCCTGGTGAGCATCCTGAAACATCTTGGCCCAGTGAACCATCCTTTCACTCATTTGCATGTGGTTTTCCCATGCAGGGTCAAGAGGCTGGGGCTTTAAAGCCTCAGAAAGCAGCACAGCATATTCACTGGTTACTCTCATGAGCCACGTGCTGGTGAAGGTCAACTGTCCGCAGACAAAGTTGCCTGGTGACCAGAAGTTTCAAAGTTCTGTTTAGACCTGTTGCCAAGAAAGTTGTGTCATGTGCTGGGGTCCAGAGCTGGGCTGACCCCTTTGATGCCTCCTTTCTTTTTATTGTGGAACAAATTTGTTTTCCTTAGAAATTGCAAGTGAAAAACTAGAAAACAGAATGTGGTTTTATACTTTTCTTCACTTTGAAATATTTCATACAACAAACATGTAGATGCTTCAGAAGTGGCAGGCTGGGAACCAAGTGCACATTTCCATCCAAAATGTTTTTTTCATTGAGAATTAGGTTTCACTTAGAGATCTGTCAAATTTTAGGATGTGTTTCTTTCCTTTGCTTATGTTAGTTTTATTTCAACTCCATTAGGGAGTATGGAGATGTTCCCAGAATAACCATAATAATTTTCTTTGAAGTATGTGAATGTTTCATGTTATAACCTCCTCCTGTCCAGGGGATGAGGTTTCCTAAGAAGTTTTACTCTCATGGGCCTATGAGTGATTACTTATTCATCCTTAGATATTTAACTCAGCCACACACTGTAGCCTCGTACTCTGACATCCAGTGGAGGGGAGAGCAGGTGGTGATTGCAAGGGGAGGCTTTCCAAGACCATGGACATCATCACTCCCTGCTGAGGAAGGACACATGCACATCACTCCTGGGGAACTTGTCTCATAGCCACTGATATCACTTCCAGTCCTCTATTCCCAAACAGACCGTGGGCTTTGTGTCCCTCCTGGGTAGTTTGCCTTTCCTAGACGTGATGGCCCTGAGGCTGATCAGGCAAAATGCTCTCTGGTTGGTCTCCTGCAAGCAGTGTCTCCATCCTGGGCTCCCAGTGTGCTGCCACCACATGCCATTGCAGGGCTGAACAAAACCAGCTGTCACTTGTTCATGCACCCCTCACCCATCTGCCAATGTCCATTTCTTTTGTTTCTGGCTCAACCCTTGAAAGCAAGCTGCCACAGCCAATCTTATACATGTGCTTGAGTGGATGCAGTCTTTCATTTTAAAGAAAAACAACTTAAATGTGAAATTAATGGATTATATTACTAGTTTATGGCTAACTAGAAAATAATGGATTATATTACTAGTTTATGGCTAACTAGAAATTCTTAAAGTATCTTTGGAAGCAGTTGTTTAAAGCAGAGTTAGGTGGTTGCTTTTTCATTTTGTTTTATTATGGTATACTGTGCTATGCTATATTATGTTACATTATGTTATATGTTGGTGAGGATTTTGAAACTGTATTTTCTGTGGTTTCTGATTTGATTTTGTATATTCAATCTGAGAAAATATAAGAATATCACATAACTCTGAGTAAGTTTGTTTGGAGAAAATTTTAAAAGGAAAACGCAGTCTGTGATGTTGGTACACACCTGTCATTTCAGTTCTCAGAGGTTGAGACAGGGGGATTGTTGTAATTTTGAGGTCGTCTGGGGCTAAAAGGGAAGATCAAGGCCAGCTTCAACTGTATAGCAGAACCCAATCTCAAAAAAAGAATGAAAGAGTAAAAGAAAGAAAGAAAGAAAAGAAGAAAAAAATTAAAAAGTATAAAAATACAAAGTCAAATATCACCTGTGAATTCAGAATAAAAACATATGTGAGTTTTTCTTGCAAATGTACATCAGTCAGCACACCTAGCATAAGGTTTACCATCATGTAGACATTGATGTGCTGCCAGGTTTGCATTGTTTCAGTTTTTTGAATATTTTACAGGGATGACTGCAGATATGCTACTGAATATACTTTCTTAGGATTTGTGTAGCTCAGTGTGAAGAGAATGTGATCATTGCTTTTTTTCCTCTCCTAAATTTATATTTAGTATCAGAAGTTGATCAAGGGATTGTTATTTTTTTGAAATAATAATAAGGACCATAAAAAAGATACTCTTTTAATTCTATGGAAAATAAAAATAATTGTAGAATAAAAGTGGTTAATGTACCTTGCACAGTGATTTCTAGGATTACTTAATGATCAATAATTTCATACATTTGTAAAACTTTGTTTTTAAACATTTTAAGACATAGTCTTAGCAGTTTTCTGAGTTTCCCATACTAGGTTTAAACCCTTCATCATCCTTCTTCACGCTGTCAGAGGGCTGGGATTACAGGTGTACATTATTCTGAGTCAGCAATTGGCAAATAATTTTGCATACTCATGGAATAAAATATTTGATTTTGATCTTTAGACTTTGTAGAAAGAATCCATCTAGTTAAGCTATCTATCACCTTCCTAATCTGCAGTTTCTTTTACAATGAGTAGGACTGAAAATCCTATTAACAATATTGGTAGGGTCACTGCTTTTTAACTGTAACTGTAGTCACCATGCACTTCAGAAGATCACACCAAATGCCTTCTTCTGGGGGACTGAGGCTTGGTATCCCCGAAGCACTTTCTCTTTTTCTCTGGTCACTCATGGAAATTGATGATTGGTGTCAAATCCCAAGAAAGATGTGAAGGTTAAAGCTACTTGGGGCACACTGCCCTCCAGAAGGCCAGGCCAGGATAAACATTGTTGCCTTCCCTTCTACTTTCCAAGGTTTTGTTTTGGGTATGGTTTAGATTTTCCATTCAGTTTCTAGAGATTGAATACAGAGCTTTTGCATTTAGCTCCATTACATTCCACTTTTTAAAGTCCTCCTTTTGGTCTTTTTTGTTTTTATCCGTACCAGTGATCGAACTCATGATCGCCTACTTGCAAGGCAAGCGCTTATGCCACTGAGCTAAATCCCCAGCCCCAAAAGTCTTCCTTTTTTGAGGAGTTTCTCAATAAGTTGCTAAATTGGTGAGTCTATCCTTGAATTTATGATGTTCCTGCCTTAGACTTCCAGATTGATAGCATTACAAGACACACCACCAGACATATTTTCATCCTGGTATTATTAAAAACTCACTGGCTGATCAAGAAATGGGTGAAAATACCTGCAATGTCAGCATTCAGGATGCTGAGGCAGCAGGATTACTGGGAGTTCCAGACAAGCCTGCAACACACTCTGATTTCAGCTCAGGGTAGATCAACAGAGCAAGAACCTGAAAAGAAAAAGAAAAGGAAAATATAGGAAAGGACAGGAATGGAATGAAGAAACAAATCCAAATTCCTGCTGACTCAATGAGTTGGTTTGTCTCTGGGCTAGTCATTTTCATCTTTGATCCTATTCTTTCAGTATAAGACCCTTTTGACTGCTGTCACTTTATAATATATTTGGAAACCAGGTATTTTGTGCTTCTATGTTTAATGTTCTTTACATCGCTAGAGGATGATACTTTGTACTTCCTTGTGAATTTTCATTTTTTTTTATTTCTAGGAAAATATCAGTGGTATTTTGACAGGAATGCTTTGAAAGGGCTGGTTGATCTGGGTAGCATGTACATTATCACAACATGAATTCTTCCCATCTGCCATCATGATATGTGTTTTCTTCTGTTTGTGCTATTGTACTGCTTGCATCTTGCTTGCAAATTTTAAAGAACATGTGAGTTTGGTTAAATTTTTCCTGAGCATTCTTTTTGATGAATTATGAAATGAATTGTATTCTTTGTATTTGAGGTTGCAGTTTGTTTGAAGCACAGAGATATGAATTGTTTAGGACATGTGGATCTTGTACCCTGCACCTTATGTGATTTTTGAATTTGTTCTAAATGGTTTTCAGTGGAGATATAAAATGAAAGGATAATATGAAAGGTTGTGTCCTCAGGAAACAGAAACAGTGCTTAATTCTTCCTTTCTGGTTTGGAAGCCTTCATTTCTTATTATTGAGTAAATTCTAGGGCTAGAACTTGGAGTACTGTGTTGAAAGTTGCTGCAAGCTTTGTCTGGTTTCTGATCTGATACGAAAATCTTGCAGCTTGTCAGCCTCTGAGCACGATGTCAGGGATGGGCATCTCATGTATCATCTTTGCTGTGCTGAGGTGCATTCTTCCTATATATGGTGTGTGAGTAGTTCTTACCATGACAAAATGTTGAACTTCAGAATTTCTCAAAGCTATTTTTCCCAATCTATGGAAAGGTTAGCTCTGTCTCATTCTGTGAAAGTGGCAAGTGATGCTCAATGGTTTTTATAGTGGGATGGTAGTTGCATCACTGAGATTGAGCCTAGTGTTGATCATGGTGCTTAAATTTTGCATGTGCTTGAAAGTTTAGTTGACAAGCTATTAGCTGAATAATCTTGCTTATGTTCATTAGGAATATTGATCAGTAGGGTGTTTGCAATTGTTTTTATTTTATTTTTCAATACATTATTTTCTGGCTTCATTCTCAGGGTGACTTTGTCATCTAAAAGAAGTTGGTGTTGGTTCTTTCCCTTCAATTTCTAGGAAGAATCCAAAAGTGATTGCTATTTATTCTTTATTATACACTTGAAAAAATTCACTGAGTCATTTATCTTATCATGGGTTTTGTTGTTTTTTAATGAGTTTTGATTGTTGACACATTGCCTATATTCATTTGTGCTCTATTCATCAGTGTGTTTGTTCCTGATGGATGTGGGTCAGTGACACCAAAGGAAACCACATTTCCATTAAGGGTTATGTCTCATTTTAACTTAGGGATGCAGCCATTTCCTTTTGTATCTTCCAACTAATCCTACAGTATATGTGTTTGGCAGTAACGCCTTTCAGTTGCTTAGACTTTTAATGCACAATGTTCTTGTTGGGTGGTTACTGCTGAAGGAAACTGGAGCTAATCAGGTGCCGTCTCTTATTTCAGGCTTCATAAACTGACCTGCCTGCAGTGTCCCCACCCCCTAACCTGCTCCGTGTAAACACCTGTCCTTCTCCACAGCTGTGGTGCATCCACATGTGGAAATTGAGATCTGCACCTGGATGGAAGACATCCCGTCAGTATTGGCTGTGTAACAGACTGACCTTTTCATATTGTGCTTCCCTGAGTGAGTCAGGGGGCCTCAGGCCTACAGGGAGGAGTTCTGGAAGCAGGGTTCCAGCCCTTTTCTGTCCAGTGTGCAGTGTATGCTGCTTTGCTGAGAAGCTGACTTGTGGATTAGGAGGCCTGGACCTCACAATTTCTTGCCTCTGGTGCCAAGGTGTCCTCTACCACAGCCTGGCCCATTTTCCCCTGACATAAGATCTCCACAGAGATCTGAGCACCCCTTGACTTCCTCTTCCAGGATCCAACTCAATGTGGAGACTTCAGGTTTGAAATCAGTGACTATGACAGTCAAAATGTATACATTTAACCTGGAAAATGTACTGCTAAGTCTTCATTATAAAAAGTGAGATTGAAAGACACCCGTATACTTTTTTACTCAGGTAAGGTGTGAAAAAATTAGAAACCATGAACGTAGCACACAGCAAAACTGCTGAGTGAATTATAAACTTACAGGCACAGAAAATGCTGCAAGAAGGCCATGTTCTAGGCCATGTCCCCAGTCTTACTTGAGATGACAGAAAGCTTATGACTTGGCTCTTTCACCACCCAGCAGTGAAGAGACACAGGCCCTCACAGCAGGCAAGGACAGGAGACAGGAGCTGATGGATGGCAGACCTCTCATCCTAATGGCCCTGATAGGTACATTGTGATCCCCTCTCACACAGCAGAGCCCTGGCCCTCTTCCTATCCAGCCTTGTACTCTGTGCTCCCCCCCTCCACCTTGGGAAGAGGTGGCATCTCTCTTTGGTTTAAGTCACTTGTCTCAGGTGACATTTTTTTCAACTAAGGGAAAATGCCATTTCCACCTTTATATGGACCTTGCTCTGCTTCTCCCACCCTTCTCCTGTCTTCCGAGCCTGCTAATGACAAGCCCATGGAGGACTCTGTCACTGGAGAACTATTTGTATGCCATTAATATATGCTCTCTTATTAAAAATGACAGATTTAGAAAAAGAAAAGAAGAAAATCTTGGTATATTTATCTATGTCACCAGGTTTGTGTTAGTTCCCTGTGCCACTTCCCCACCCAACAATGACATTGTATGATAAAGGAATTTGAGAGTAAAACCAAGAAGAGCATTCACATTTCCAGTCCTTTGTAGCTCCATTCATTAAGTGATGGACAAGTCTCCCAGGCTCTGCCTCACTCTGCCTCTGTCCCTCTGGTTGTCTCATGCACATCTCTGTGTGTATGCACATTGATGTCAGAGATATTTCATTGTAAAAACTGAGATCTTGCACACACAAATCCATCTTGCATCAATGGTAATTTCATGATCAGATCCCTTGGCCTCTTCCTCTGTGGGCCCAGAGATACTGAGCTCAGCTTCCCTGAAGCTTTCCCTGCTTTCTGTGGCCTACACTGGTGCCCTGCACACTCTACCTGCAGGGTAGGGAGGGTCCTAGTTCCTTCCTGTTCTAAAAGTGCTGTGAACAACAATCTTGAAAAGAAAGTTAAAATGTTATGCAGATTTTTCTTTATTTTTTTGTTGTTGTGCAGCTCTCTGTGTGGGAGAAACCTCTATGCTTAGTTCAGAGAGGTCCAGGGAGCCTGTGTAGAGCTCTGATGGGAACTGAGGGAAAAGGTTCTGCTTCCCCCACCCCATTTTCTCCCCAC